TGTTAGGTGACGTCACGTTACGTCACCAATTTTCAGGGCCGTATTCTTAAGCCCAAAGAAAAGGGGGCATATACTTCTAGGCCAAACTTGAGGTGTATATATTTACGTTCCTGAAAGGTGCGCAGTAAGCATACTTTGAGCACATAACAGAGCTGAGTCTGGAGAAGTGGGAAATTTCTGGAAATGTAACAGTATGGGGACCCGACTGTAATCAGATAATAGGAAACCTGACCGTGTTTCCTATTTATCCAGGTGGCGAGTGCCGGGATAAAGCGATAAGTCCATCGACCTTTTTCCTCACTATCCCATATTTCTTTCCATCTTTCTATGAGCCTGTGCCTCGCTTCTTTGCGGATCAGGCCCTTGCTTGGTCTTATTTCTTCATCCAAATAACTTCTTTCTTTAGAAAAGAGAAACATTTCTTCCCTTTCCCTCGCCAAAAGATCTGCTGGCGGGACACTTGCAAGGACCTGCACAGCACTCGTAGATACCGTCTTATATGCAGAGATGATACGCGTTGTTATCGATCTCTGCGCCGACAGTATCTTTTCACAGATGGTCACACATCTTTTACTTCTCAGGGATGGGGCCCACGCTGGTGCTGTGTAGAGTATTTTAGCGTGGGCGACACTCGCCACCAGTCTTCTTTTTTGTTCACGGGGTCCGCCTACATTTGGCATTAACCGTGAAAGATTAGCCGCACATTCGATCGCCTTATTTGACGCCGTAGCCATGTGGTGGTGGAAGTTTAACCTTCCATCTAACTCCACACCAAGATATTTAATTTGCTTACTCCACTTGACCTCGAATCCGTCTATCACGATTCGTGGGAGCTCATAACCACGTCTGTCTGTGACCAGCAGTGCCTCCGTCTTTTCCAGGGCCATTTCAAGACCTCTGGTATCCAGCCAGCTTTTTGCTAGTCGCAGACATTCGTTCACCAATGTCCCAAGAGCCTCCTCACTTTCGGCAGTGCACACGAACAACGCGTCGTCCGCAAAGCCGATGATCACCTCACCTTCGGGTAGATCCATTCGCAGAAAATCATCGTAAGATACATTCCATACAAATGGACCCACCCTCGAGCCTTGCTCCCTCATATATAACCCACCTGTCGCTAAGATAATTATCCATTATCCGCAACAAGTAGCGCGGCATGTTTTTCTTTTCCATCGACTCGATGAGATCTTTTCATCTTGCGGAATTAAACGCGTTGCGTATGTCCATTGCTACCAACGCGCAGAAGCTCTTCTTTTTTCCGGGTCCCAACTTGTTTTTTCCTGCTTTGGCTATGTCCACAACTGCCTGGATGGCATCAACTGTGGACTTGCCTTTACGGAATCCAAATTGGTGATCCGATAGACTATTCTCTCCGGTCAAGTGGCTTTGCATTCTCTGCAGGACCATATCCTCTAGAAGTTTACCCATCGTATCCAACAGGCATATAGGCCTGTACGATGAAACCTTATCTAGAGGTTTTTCACCTTTCCTTAGGAGGACTAACCTCTGTCGCTTCCAGTCGCAGAAGAACTCTCCTTTCTCAAGGCAAAGATTGAAGCATCGAAGCAGAATCTGGGGTGAAGTGTCGATTACCAACTTTAGGATCTCGTTACTTATCCCATCGATTCCAGGCGCCTTGCCTGTTTTTAATCTTTTGCCTGCTTTTTGTAGTTCACTAAGTTTGAAGAGTTCTTTTTCTTCGACTTTGCAAAAACTCCAGTCCCTTCTAAGGTATGGCTCTGCAGGAGGAAACAAAGAATTTATTATCTTTCTGACCCAATCGGGATTGTCCAGGCCGGGGGTCTTTTGCCTCGTCACTAATTTCTTAGTAACGATTTTAAAAGCCAGACCCCATGGGTCCTTATAGACTTCCTCGATTAGGTCCTTCCAGCTACGGCGTCGCGACTTGCGGATCTCTTTCTTGAGGTTCTTTTTCGCCTCCTTGAAAGCCTCTTTCAGCAAGGGATCTCCCTTAGATCGGGTATATGTCCTTCTTGCTTTGAGGCATTCCTTCCTCAAGGAGGCTAGCTCCTCTGACCACCAGTGTAAGGATTTTCTTACGGGAATGGCGCCTTTGCGTGGCATTGACGCATTGCAAGCGGTGACTATCATGTTCCTCACCGCTCGCACCTCCCTATCCAGACTGCTCGGCCTCTTCACCCAGCCAAAGTCCTCAATTAAAAGGGCTTCTCTTAGGGACCGGCCGAACTTTTCCTTGTCGAGTCTCTTCATATTCCACGAGGAGGTTTTGCGACTAGGAGCATCCTGTCTTTTTCCTCCTCGTGTGTCTCCCATCGAGACTGAGAATTCAATGTACTGGTGGTCACTTGCGGTATATTCCTCAGAGACCCGCCAGTCGGTTATGCGGCTGAATAGTTTACACGATGCGATTGTTAGATCTATAATTGATCCGATTGCACCTCGTCTAAAAGTCCATGTATTATGTACCTCGATTTACAGCTAATAAGTCGTTTCTGGAGATCATTTCTCCAATACGAATTCCTCTCTTGTCGAGTCTCGTCTCACCCCACTCTGGCGACTTTGCGTTAAAATCGCCAGTGATGATGACATCCAACCTGGATTCTGTGAGGCTCACTTCCAAGTCTTCGATATTGGCTTCGAAGTTTGTCAGTGGGTCGTTGGGTGAAAAGTAACAGCTATACATACGTATATTAGCTACCTCTATCCACACGAACCCACTGCTCGTCTCCAAAAACTTGTCAACCCGCAATTCTGGGTTGCACAGATTTATGGCGGCTCTCTTTGCCTTATCCTGATACCAAGGGGTGAGGTCGCTTCCTTGATACTGCTCACTGCAGAACAGGATATCGACCTCATTTTCCCTTGCTGTTTGCATTAGGAGCAACTGTGCATCCTTACTTGTATGCAGGTTGACCTGCAAAAATTTTAAGGATTTGCCCTTTTAACCTTTTGCAGTTCTTCCCTGTAAACCGGGCAAGCTCTCTTTCCGGACTCATGATCCGTTTCCGGCTTCCCCAGGTCCAAACAAGTAAGGCACTTCGGCTTAACGTTACAGCTCTTCGCGAGGTGTCCCTCTCCGCCGCATCTCCGACAGTTTTTACTTCTGTCGGGGCCTTTGCAGGATAGGGTTCTGTGTCCGTAACCTAGGCACTTTTGGCACCTAGCTACTTCAACATGCTCGCGAATTGGAGCATTTATCCAGCCGATTTTGATTCGGACAAGTTTAAGCAGAATGTCACTTTCTGTTTCTGCCAAGCGGATAAGAGCAACCTTAGTTTCTCTGTAGCGCGGCAATAATTTGCACTTTATAGTCAGGTCGGATTTGCCCAGCTTTTCTTTCAATGCTGAAGTCACCTTACTCTCTGTAGTGGCTTCATCCAGGTCTTTGATTTCTAGAGACCTCTTATTTACTAGAGGTATGACCTCAGCCACGCCATGCAGGGCCGAGGACAGACTGTCCGCAAATTTTAAGGTCTCTTCACCCTTTTTCACTATCAGGAGAACCTCCTGTTTAAAAGTTCTCCTGATTTTCTGGATCACGGTACCTGTATCTTCAGGTATAACCTTTGATTTTATCAGCGGCAAGATACCCTCATAAGATTTTGGGTCTCTTGCCGTGATTTTTACCGCTTCCGTGGTTCTAAGCTTCAAAGGGTGTTTTGAGAGCTCTTTTTTCTCGCCTGGGGGCTTCTTTCTTGGAGCCCGTTCCCTTCTCTTTCCAACAACCTTAAAGCCGTCCTCATTGTCCGCTCCGTCTTTCAAGACGGTCTCGGCATACGTCTTACTAGGACTACTTGAGGACGCCTCTTTTGCTTCAACTAGCGACTCAGGATTAAGCTGTGGAGCATCCTTTCGCTTAATCCTCTTTTCACTTTGAGTTGCTTGATGTGGACTCACATCTGGGCTTACTCCTTCCCTAGGGCGCTTACTAACCTTTTTCGTCTTATTTGTGCCTGCAGCCGCGCTATCCCGGCTTGCAATAACACTCTTCGTCCGCCGTGGAGTTTCCACAGTTGAATGTTGCGGCTCCTGTTCTTTGAACGGCTCGGGAATAAAACGTAAATTCTTACAAATTGTTAAGAACGCACTCTCCAAAACCGCCACGCCATCCTGGATGTCCCGACTGACGTTCTTTTGGCGCTTGAATGCCTGTTGCACGCTCTTAAACATTTCGGGAATAGCCAGGAATTGATTTGCGACATTTGATTCGTAGCATGTCAGCTGGCTATCTATTTGGCTCCCTCCAAAATCCTTGAAGCCATCTGCACCGACTATCGGGGCTTGCACCCGATCAGAATCGGTGGTGGGATTACCCTCTTTCGAGGTACCCACTTGGAGTATTTCATTTAAAATTTTGTCCATGTCATTCATTTTTTTTTTCTTTGTCCCGTGTCGAGGGACAATCGGGCCTTAACAGGGTGCTACCATCTGGCCAGGATGGGCCCTGAACCGCCTCCGTTAGTTACATAAACGTTATAGCATTGCCGGAGCATTGATGCGACCTCTATGATATCCAAGGGCACGTGAACATGTATGTTCGGACGTGGAGGTCGATGTGTCTCTCCAAGATAGCAGGAAGTTTTCGCAAAGGGAGTGCATCCTGGTATCTCTTCACAGAGTTTACCCTCATTATTATTATTATTATTATTATTATTATTATTATTATTATTATAATTATTATTATTATTATTATTATTATTATTATTATTATTATTATTATTATTATTATTATTATTATTATTATTATTATTATTATTATTATTATTATTATTATTATTATTATTATTATTATTATTGTAGTTTTAAACTATTGAAAAAAGTTTATTGTTTAATCATTAAAAATTAAAGAGCAGAAGAAATTTTAAAACAGTAAAAATAATTTAACGATTTTAAAATTTCCAACACAAAAAATTGTTTAGAAAATGTTTCAAGAAAAATAGAAGCAAAATTTATCAAAAAGTTTATAGAAATATTTTATTATTGTCTTAATTAATATTTAATCTAATTTGCAGTAGAATACATGATGTTCAATTTTGAGCATCATAACGACTTATGGTTTTACTTTTTTGATAGACAAATAGAATCGCCTAATGATTATAGGTAAACGAAGAAATTGTTAGCAATAAATTATATTATGTCGTTTATTTTTTAAAATAAAAATAATAATTAATTCTAATAATTATATTTACTTATTAAATTATTAGAGCATTTAAGTGCATATTCACGATGCCAATGATAGAAGGTGTTGTCAACATTTTAATGAATAAGAAAGAATTTAAGGCAAAGGAACATTTTGTAAGTGATAATACGAAAATTTTATTTATTTACCCTTTGACGCCCCTAAGACGTTAAATTTTCAAAAACTAACATCAGATTCATCATAATTAAAAAAAACACCGAATAAAAAGTTACAAACAAATTGCATTAGATTTTAAAATAGTTTGTTCGCCATATTGGATCCGACATTTTTAATTTTTAAAAACTGGATTTGAAATCGTAATCAGTGTCCCTAAAAATCTCTAAGAATATGACGTTTGGCTTTTAAATATTCCCTTCTCCCTTTCCGCGATCATTAAAGGGTTTAAAATGTTACATTTGAACAAATTAGATAATAATTATAATACTTTCATTTCATTAGGTTAGAAAACAATTTAATTACATAAAAGAAAAAATGAAAGAAGAATTTCAAAACAGTTGGTTAAATGATACTTTGAAAGAATTGGTAATACAAGAAATAGAAAATGTAAATCTAGAGATCCGTGTAACCAACAAAATAAAACATCAATTAACGTTAGAAAAAAAAGTTTTTTCATACGATGTAAGAACTCACCTAATATATTATTACATAATTTGAAAAAAATTATATCTCTAATTTTGTAAAAAGTATTTTTTATTAATATTATTCTTTACAGTTCACTATTACTTCTAATGCTATGCAAAATTATATTAATTTTAAAAAAGCTCAAGCAGATCGCATGGTTAAATTATATTTAGAAAATATGAATTTAATAACGTCTAATCATGGGTAAATTTTTCACTTTTAACTACGAAAAAAAATTCAAAATATCCTGCAAATTAACTATCTACTTCTTAATTTTTTTGTAAATATACACTACCGTTGGGAATTATCGGTACGGCTGCATACGCACGGCCTAAAAACATGCCAATCTTTAAATCTCGATTTCTTTGTAAATGCAAATGTCAGAAAATTAACAAAGATACCATTCGAAAGATTATTAAATTCTGCGATTAATGATAGATAACTGAAAATTTTAATAATTTATACAAAAATTGCAGCAATCGACAAATTTGACAAAAAAATTTTAAAAATAAAATTTTTTTGGAAATTTTTTCAACCCCTGCATATTTTTTAAAAATTGTAGAAAAAATTTGAAACTTACATAAGTGTGATCATTCAAGTCGCATCTTTAATTTAAGACCAAAAGAGTTTAAAAATCTTATTCGGTTCGTGAGATATCATTATAAACGTCGGAGCATGTTTTTTGACAAATGCATTGAGTTAGTCGATTTTGAACGGTTTTTGGCTGAAAATGCTCGGCCGTTTATAATGATATCTCGATAACCGATTAAGATTTTTTAACTTTTTTGGTCTTAAATTAAAGATGAGACTTGAATGATTACACTTATATAAGTTTCAAATTTTTTCTACAATTTTTAAAAAATGTGCAGGGGTTCAAAAAATTTCCGAAAAAATTTTATTTTTTAATTTTTTTTATCAAATTTGCCGATTGCTGCTAATTTTGTATAAATTATTAAAATTTTCAGTTATGTATCATTAATCGCAGAATTTAATAATCTTTCAAATGGTATATTTGTTAATTTTTTGACATTTGTATTTACAAAAAAATCGTGATTTAAAGATTGGTATGTTTTTGGGCCGTGCGCGTGCAGCCGTACCGATAATTTCCGACGGTAGTGTATAATTATCAGGGTGTTCACCGTCACTTAGTATTACAACAAAATATTTAATTATAAACTTATTCTTAATTATAAATTGCCCTTTTAGAAGAAAGAAAAGAAAAGTAACAGTGGATGCAGAATACATTGTGCCGGAAAATAAAATAAGTAAGTGACAAAGGTGTAGTATTACAAAGTGACAAAATATCTTAAAGAAGAAATTATTATAGGAGTCAAAACGAGTCAACCGTGAATAAAATTTTTTTATAGTTTTGGAAAAGTCAAAACATTTATGAAATGTTGAAAAAAATTAATAACTTATTACTGTTTTGCTAGAAATTAATAGCAATTTTCTTGGTAGTCATTGAATATCCACTCTTTTAAATAAACTTAATTGTAAAAAAAAATTTTGAAAATTTTTTATAACAATTTTATAAACAATTAGTGTTTTTTATGCTTTCTAGAGCAAGGATTTTAATGAAATTTATATTTAAGATACATTGAACCTACATCTTTATATTCCCGAAAAAAAATTTGTATTTCCAATTACAACCGGAGATTTTTAATTTTTTGTTGCGCCGTTTGCTCGTTTACCGCGGCATTTATCACAGCGATGGATGACGCGGTAAACGAGCAAACCGCGCACGGCGCAACAAAAAATTAAAAATCTCCGGTTGTAATTGGAAATACAAATTTTTTTTCGGGAATATAAAAATGTAGGTTCAATGTATCTTACATATAAATTTCATTAAAATCCTTGCTCTAGAAAGCATAAAAAAAACTAATTGTTTATAAAATTGTTATTAAAAATTAAAAAATTTTCAAAATTTTTTTTCACAATTAAGTTTATTTAAAAGAGTGGATATTCAATGACTACCAAGAAAACTGCTATTAATTTCTAGCAAAACAGTAATGAGTTATTAATTTTTTTTTAAATAATGCAAAAATTTTTTATTATAAAAAAAGGTATAAATATTTAAAGTTTTGAAAAACAGTTAAAAGTGTTTTTTTTTTTTTGGTTTGCTGTGAACTACAGATTTTCATAAATGTTTTAACTTTTCCGCAAAACTATAAAAAAATTTTATTCACGGTTGACGCGTTTTGACTCATAGATTAAAATTTTTTTAAACTAAAATGGAGGAATATGTGACATTTTTCATTATTTTAGTGATAGAGCCAACAAATTTGTATACTCCATTCGTTTATATAAAGGCTCCACTGTAAGTTGTTTCAAAATCTAAGAATTTTTAAATACATGCATATTTAATTTTAATCTTTTGAATTATTACATTTAAAGTGCATTCAATTTTGGAAAAATTGGACATTTAATTGCTCATGAATTGTCTCATGCAGTATGTTTTACAAAAGTTTTGCCACAAGACAGTGGTAAATATGATGAATTATAAAATTTTACATGACGTAAGATTTTATTAAATATCCTTACATTTTAATGAATTAATAATAATTATATTAATTACAGTTTATTTTGAAAGTCCATCTATTGCACTCAACTTTGATAAAAATACCAAATGTTTGTTCAATCAGTACAATAAGCAGAATGTAATTAAAAGCGTAAAATTGGGAATTCAACCTTCCATTAACAGATATATATTTTCAACTTTTGATATTTATTTTTAAATACACTTTTATTATAGAATTTTCTTTTGTAATTTAGAAAATTATTTTTATTATTAACTTTACAGGTTGACGGTTTAATAACCTTGAAGGAAAATTATGCTGATAATCTTGGAATAAAAGTGGCATATAATGCAATGAGATATATAATAAATAATAATTTAATGTCAGAAAAACTGAACACCCTACCGGATTTTCAAGTATATACATCTAAACAATTGTTCTTTCTTTCCTATGCAAATGTAATTATTACGTTATAATTATTTAAGTCTTAATCTAAAATAAAATGTTAAAATTTTGGTATTAATTAAAATATATTTAGTTTTTTGAATTTTTTATTTTCAACATTGAACTACTAATCCGTTGCTGTTGAGTAACATGTTTAAAAATATTAGTAATCTTTTCTTTAAACATTTTGATAGATGCACTGTAGGACCTCTAATAATAATTATGTGCATTCACCTGAAGCTGCAAGAGTCAACGTACCTTTAATGAATATGAAGGAATTTGCAGAGGCTTTTTATTGCCCAGAAGGGAGTCCTATGAATCCAATTGAAAAATGTGACTTCTGGAAGAATGAATATACAAATAATCAAAATTATATTTCTTCATAAATACATCTGGCTGTTTGGATAATATTTAGAAATCGTAAAATCTTCTTATTTAGAAATAAACTTTTTGTACATGTTTCCTTAAGAAACAAATGATAATTTTGTTATTCAACTGATTACCAACTCTACACTTTTTTTTATTGAACTTGTAAAAGTATAAGATTGGAGGTAATCAGCCCTTTCTGGATGAATAAAATTTCATTCTAATCATTTCATGACTGTTTTCTTATTTCCTGTTGATACCTAATTTCTCTTGAAGGAATTGACCAAAATAAATGAACCTTAGACCAAAATAAAACTAAATAAATATGTAGAATAGAGGAAAATTATATATAATCCTTTATCTAATTTTTTGAGCTCCTGGGAGTTGAGTGATTTAGCATTTTTTATGAAAAAATAACAAATTGGTGTATAAAAACCTGTAAATCATAGTAAAACTTAATAAAACAACTTTTTTGTAAGCATTTGGGATCACTGAATACAAAAATAAAATTGGTGTTTCGAAATTCAAAATGGCGAATTCAAAATGGCGGACTAAATTTCCAAAATTTAAAAAAATTTCTAATTTGTTCAAAGTGTGGTATTGTAATGTTTTCAAGGTCGCTGAATCCAAATATGGTAGTAAAATTTTAAAATTCAAAATGTCGGACCCAATAAGGCGGACAAAATTTTTTAAAAAATGATTTAATTTCAATAATACTTAATATTTTATTGTTTTTCTGATCGCAGAATTAAAATTTGATGCTCCAATTGAATAATTAATTTTTTTTAAAACGGCATAAGGAAAAGTAATAGATCATCTATCATAATTTGTTTTGAAATAGGTTTCAACGATTAGTACAACTGTTTGAAATGCAGCTAAAAAAATTTTTTTACGGAATTTGTACGAAATTCGAGCGAATTACCACCGAAATTATTTATGGACATTTTTTTATGAAATTCTCCACGGAAATTCCTATGGAATTCCGCAGGAAATGTAAGCTAAAAATTTTTTTCAAAAATTTTTCAGTTGAGAAGAGAGAAAGAAGGATTCAAATATTTTGACTTCGGAAAATATTATTTTATAAATGTAAAATATAGATACGTAGCGACCACGTGACATCTGTAGAAATATATTTTTTAAAAAAATGTCAAAGTACAAAGTTATAATAAATAATTATTTTCCATTCCTCTGCACATGACAAACATCAAGAATTGCGAGGGAAAATTTTATCATGCTATTTCTTTAATCCTTTCATAAAATTTGTATACCTTTACTATTATTTTTTGCCCTCAACTAATGAGCGAATGGTGGAAAAAAGAAATTTCAAATATTAACCAATAATGGAATGACTTTTTTTCCCATTAACATTACAGGGTTTATTTTAAACATACACCTATTATAAAATCTAAAGAAGAAATGTTAGTAAATTAATTGGCTATTCATGGTTATAAACTCGTTGGCGAGTTTCCGAAAAATTCTCTTTTCTTTCTCCGCATGGCTGCCGGCTAACGGGTAAATAAAAATTGTATGTATTTGCCAACAAAAATTGTTTTTCTTTTCTTTTATGATTTTTTATTTTTTTCTCTCTCTTTTTTTTGCTACTTCCATTACTGTTGAAAGAGAAGACTCTTGTTCTTTTGAAATTTATCTTTAATTCAAGGTTCTTAATTTACGTGGAAAATCGTTTAAAAGCATGTATGTATGGTCAATTTAATTTCCACTGCTTTTATTTAGAGGAAAAGTATAAAAAAAAGTAGTAGATAAAAAAATAGTAAAATAATAATAGTTAAGAATAATTAATTCCGTACGTACAGAAGCTTTTAAAATTGGTCTGAATTTTTTTTTCTAAACGATTCACGGAGAACGAGATTCATAGCAAAACTTGTTTTCAGATACTTTGAAAGCCCCTGTAGGAGTTATTCTAGTGTCTGAATTCATGATAGAAATCCGCTTTGCTATGTGAATATTGACAGCGTATTAAAACTTTCTTGCTGACGAAATCGCTATATAATAATCCATTTCCGGAAGATGAGATCTCGCTTCCCACCTATGGATATAATTATTTTTTGAAATATCAAATTTATCATTCCCTTTGAAAGAATGTTTTATTTCTAAAAATAAAATTTTTAATTTATTTACATATTTTGGAAAAAAATAGAATATTATGTTTAATTAAAGCAGGGGACATATGAACAGTGTTGATGCAATCAGATTTCATTATTCATGGGACGACAATTATATTTAGGAATAACAACCAATGTTCTCTAGTGTAAATGCTTTCACCCTCCACCTTCGTTGCACAGCTTTATGTTGATGATGATGATCATTGATCTGAATTACACCTAGAATTGCGCAATTAAAGTTAGTGCCATCTGTTTACACCTACAATAAAGCTAGTTACATTCACAGCTGCTTCTACTTTAAATTTAAAATTATAGCCTTTAGAATGTGCTCTTGTGACTTTTACTCGCCAGTCGATAATTCAACAATTTATTTTAATTTAATACTCTGAATATTAAATAATTCTCTAAAATGTGTTCATAATTGTGATCTTATTTTATAATTTAAATAAACTGGTACACTATATTCTGTAAAACTCAAATACTCCAATAATAGATGATAATGCAATCCGACGATATAATTTATGTTGAATTATTTAAGTAAGCGTTATTTTAATACTTTTTAAAAATAGTAATAAGTCTTCATGTGATTTTAATCTTCGATTAATTGAGGAATTAAAATTTATTTTTTCCGCAATGCGGAAAATATTTATTTGTGTCCCTTCAAAAGATGGAGGTAAAAATAATTCAATATATTATACCAACGAAATCTGAATAACAATTGACAATAAATGATGATCATTTTGTTGTTATGAAAGAATTAAATAAGATAGAGTAATTTAATAAAATTACTGTAACATTAAAAACTACTAGCAACAATTCGCGCGCGGCTAACTTCTTACTACCTTTTTTTTTAAATAAAATTATCAATTTTAAAAATAATAGAATTTGAAAATTTTCTAATTTCAATTTTTGTTGAAAACACTAAAAAAAATTTTATTTTGGAGAAATTACAAATAATTGCAAAAATTCAATTATTTTCCAAAAAAAAAAATATAAGATTCTTCTTATAAAATTCAACTATGTTCAAAATTTGAATAAAAAATTTCGTAAAAATCTCAATTATCTTTATAAATAACAAAATTCTTTTACAAAATTAAATTATTTTCATAAATGTCAAAAAAATTCTTGTCCTAATTTCAATTATTTTCAAAAATTTGACTAATATCAATGATTTTCAATATCTACTATTTTATTTATTTATTTATTTACACGGGCCGTGCCCTTTCGTACAAAAGTACTAAGAATATAAAAAGAAAAATAATATAAGTTTATTAGACGAAGTGATGACACATCATTTACGTTGAGCAAAAAATTTTGTTTATTTTAATAAAATTTCCCAAAAAGAATTCAATTATTTAAAAAAAAATTTAATAAAATTGTATGTAAACATTTAATTATTATTTTTATAAATAATAAAAATTTCACAGGAATTCAATTATTTTTATAAATAATAAAATTTTTTTAAGGAATTTAATTATTATTTTCATAAAAAATAATTTAAAATTCTAGAAAATATAATTATTATTGAATTAAAATTATGAAAATAATTTTGATGAAGTTTTTCTTTTCAAATATTTTTAATTTTAAAATAAATGAATTGGAAATTAACGAATTGTTGCAAATAATTTTATCAAAAAATTTGATAATAATAGAATTCCTTTAAAGAATTTTATTATTTAGAAAAATAACTGTATTCTCGCAAAGAATTTTATTAAAATTTTAAAAAATCCTAATTAAATTCTTTTGAAGAATTTCTTTGAATTTTTTTTAAACTAATGGAGTTTCTTTAATAATTTTATATAATTGAAAATTTAGAAAGCAATTGAATTTTATAAAGAAGAATTTTATTAAAAGTTAATTGGAAATAATTGAAATCTTGCGAAGAATATATTTAAAAATTGCATTGAAAGTAATAATTTAACTTTATAGAATTTTTTTTGTAATATTTTGAGAATAATTGAATTATTATTTTTAGAGAATTTTAAATTCTTGTTGAAATTGAATTTTATAGACATTTTTGAAAATAATTAAATTCCTTCCCGTGTGGAAAAATATTGTGGCAGTCTAGAGTCCAATGATTTCCCGATTAGCAATCATCAAGTCCGTCTAATTCTAGAGGGTCCATCAAGTCCCGAATCAGTGACTTAACAGATTGGCTTATTAGAAAAAATCTAAGTCAAATATGTCCGTCTAGTACGGTGTTATTAAGACCGTCTAGATTTGGTCTAGGATGTTATATGCGCATGCGTCGATGAATGCCCAGCTGTTAAGTAACATGGCGCCTAATGGCGTCGCGTCGTTTGGCGTCGTTAGATCAGTCAGTGTGTGATGCATTTTGTTTGTGAATTATAGTATTTGTTGTGGTTTCTGTTTTACGTGAATAATAATGTGCTATGTTGTTGTTGTTTTCTGTATAATTTAATTTTAAATGTGCCCTGAAAAAAAATGATTTTGATGTGTTTCTATGTGTTTTGATTAGTCGGCTGAAGCTAGCAGTCGTACTCAGCATCAATGTTTAGGCGTCATCTACCAATATGCCTCTCCTTCAAATTTTGTAATACTTAATGATTTAAAAAACCATCGAGTATTGTTATTTGGGAATCAATATTCACTAAATAGTAAATTTAGTAAGTTTTTATTTATTAATTTCATTAATTAGTGGTTGACGCCTAAAGATTGGTGCTAAGTACGACTGATAGTTTCATCCGGCTGTTTTGATTTGCAGTAAATTTTATTTTACAAAAAGACTACTATCTCCAATGCCAAAGATTAGGAGGGACACAAAGCCTTACGCTTAAAGAAAGTTGAAGTGAAAAATACAGAAAGTTAAAATATTTTTTAATAATTTTATATAAAAAAAAGTCATTAAAATTATTTCAAATATAATTAAGTTTTATCATTCTAAGAATAGTTGTCATAACATATAATGAGAAATTTTGAATAGACGTAGATTAGAATTTACTAGCACTGCTGATCAGACCAGAAACGCTGGTCTATTCTAGACGATAGCGTGGAAGTTTCGTTTCAATTCTGAATAGCCGCTCGACAAGACCGTCTGCCCTGGGTCTAGAAAGACGTTAGACAGTC